AAGCCACCGTTCCAAACTTGTATTGTAATAGGTCGGTAGACAATTTAGGACATGTTTGGATGACTTTGAGCTAATACTAGTTGACTAAAAATCAATTGAAGGCTTAACTAAAAAAATAGCTCATCTATTAGCCATCCTGTTTGGATGACTATGGCTATTTAGCTACTCCATCCATTCCAAATTATAAGACATTTCAAGAATCTTAGAGAGTTAAAGAACATCAAGTTTGACTAAAATTATAAAGAAAATTATGAAGATTTATGACATCAAATAAGTATACTATGAAAATATAATTAACGAGGAATCTAATGATACTTAGTTGACATCATAAATGTTATTATCATACTCCATATAAATTTGGTCAAACTTGAGATGCTTTAACTCTCCAAGATCCTTAGAATGACTTATAATTTAGGATGGATGGAGTAATTTTTAGCTAGCTAACAATGAGCTCTTATATCAAACAGATCCTGAGTGTAGCGAGTCACGGGACAAATAAGGAGTGAAAAGTACAAAAACACACTATGCAAACATTAAAAAGGTGAAATAGTAGCAGCAATATATGTGGCGAATAGAAATACAAATACAGTCACATAGTTAAGGGAGTACCGTGAATAATAATAAAATCATGTCGCTTAGAGTAAGACTTGGTCAAACCTTAAATAAAAGCTACTAACATCCATAACTTTAAAACTAAATGTATTTTAGTTTGAGAACATGTAATATATATGTAGAATTATTTTTCAAAAGTATTTGCAAAATCTAATAAATTTAAAAGATTTTTTTTTAAATACATCGTCTAAGAAATTACCAGTCAAATGCTCAAATGTGGGAATGGAAAACTATACAAGTGCTTTTGAGTGAGGTACTCTAGCTTCACTTTATAAAGGATACATTAAAAAGGTTTATATAGGATGTGTCGGTGTTTCGTAAACCAACGAGTGAATTTACGAGTGTCGCGCTGCTCTAGGAAGACGATGGTAGCACTCAAGACACAAGAAAACTATACAGGTTCAAGCCGGAGCCCTACGTCCAGTCTCAGATAGGGTAGCGAGCTCGTGTTCCTCGGTTCAAGTGCTCTGAGGTCTTATAATGGGGTAAGGAGGAATTGGTAGGACGAAAGTCCGAACGGAGTCTCGGAGATTTCGTCCCCTCGAAGGGAGGCCTAGCCGCCCTTATATAGAGTTCGGGGGCCAGGTTACAGTAGAGAGATGGGTTCTCCCGATCCGAGTGGTCGAGAGCCCGAGGGAGGGAGAAGCGAGTAAACTTGGCCAGCAATCCATCCTGTCTTCTCCTGGCGTCATAGTACGTTCGGGCATGGTAGTCTTTGTGGTCGTCGTGATCTTGATCCCCACGTCATGGCATGGTGTGGCGTGATGCTACAATGCCGATCATGGCGGCACTATTGGCACGGTGGTGGTTCACCAACTGTCCTGTGTGGTATGGTCATGCCGTGGCCTCCATCATCGTTCTCTGTTCTTCTGGTGACGTTGTGGCGACAGTGAGGAAGCGGGTAGCCGCTCTCGGGTTGTGGCGCTGCGAGCCTCGACCCTGGGTCACCGAGTCAAGGCTCCTGGTGGCCTAGTTAATCTTGTGAGGACAAGGGCGGGGTCGTGTGACCCATCCCGTAACAGGTGGGGCCGTACGCTCGTCTTGTCGGGTTGAACGCAGGGTTGTGCAGGGATGGTGTCTGCCCCGAGATTCCGCGTCCCGAGAGATGGCCGTCCTCTCCGTCCTGGCGAAGTGAGCGGAGCGTGCTTGCCCCTGTCAGAGCAGGCGTACTCGATGGCGTCCGGCCTCTCCCTGTCCTTTCCCATGGGCCGAGACCGGGGAGAGGTCGAGCATGACTGCGAAGCGTGCATCGGAAGAAGATGGAAAAGGCCATGATGGACCGCGTATCTTGGCCCGGGACATGCGTGGTTTAAGTGGGCCGCAGTTGCTAGGCTTCAGCTAGCTGGGCCGCCCGAGCGGCTTACCGTTCGATGCCTTAAGATACAATAGTATCTTGACCCCGACAAGATGACACCACTGATTAAGTTTAGAGACCCACATGTCAAAGTTTAGGGGCTAAAGGTGAATTTTACTCTATTTTCTTCTACCAAGTTATCATATCTGCGGACATCATAATGCCAACTAACCTTTGACATGCATGTCGCTGCTGTAAATGTTGTGAAGGTAAATTTGATATCCTTTGTGCACATCGGCCCTGGTTCGTACGGCAGCTTGAGTTTGAAGTACTATTTTTCCGAATCTAGTACTACTCCAGTGTATCTCAAGTCCTGAACTAATTTCAAGTCCCTTTGGATTTTTTTTTTAACAATACTCCTGCTACATACTAGTACAGTAGTACTAGACATTGGCGGACCTAGTGGGTGGTCAGGGTGGTCCACCGACCACCCTGTGGGCCACCCATCAACCATACATAATACAAATAAAAAATTAAAAAAAAACAAGCCGTCCGCCATCCGGTGCCCTTTTGAGATAGAATCGATGCGGTCACGCTGGAGCGGATTCCTCCTCCTCGTCTTGCAGTGCAATGCGGGCCGCCCAGCTCCAAATCGATTGAAGGCAGGTTGGATAGCGCGTGCTCGCTGGGATCGCCGCCGATCCTGTCGCTCCCGTCGAGTCGACGGATCTGCCATCGGCGCGCGGCATCGCCCGTCGCCGCTTAGCTTGAGTCTGGATCGCCGCCGCCGCCGCAGGGCTGATTGCGGGCCCTTCCTCGCTTCTCGGTGATACTCCCCGTCCATCCCCGTCCTTCCTCAGTTCCAGGTTTCTTCCGATCGTTAGTTTTGCTAATTGACGAGTGTTTTTTCCATAACTCTTGAGTCTTGAATTATGAAAAGAAACGGAGACATTCGATCCCTTTTTCAGAAAGCAGCAAAGAAGGCGGCTGCTATTGACCCACCTCCACATGAAGAACAACTAGCTCTTTGCTTGCGTTATGTTGATAAACTTGGAAGGCCATGTGAGCACTTTATTGGAGTTGTTCATGTAGATGATACTACCTCTTTATCACTTAAGAAAGCAATTGAAGTTTTACTTGTTAGTAATGGATTGAGTATGCAGCAGATTAGAGGTTAAGGTTATGATGGGGCTAGCAATATGAAAGGAGATATTAAAGGGCTCAAAACTTTAATCATGCAAGAATCACCTTCCGCTTATTATATTCATTGCTTTGCACATCAACTCCAACTAGTTATTGTTGCTGTTGCCAAAGGAAATACTGACTGCAAGACTTTTTTTGATCAAGTATCTATCTTGTTGAACATTGTTGGGGTTTCTTACAAGCGTCATGATATGCTTCGAAATGCTAGGTTTAAGAATGTCAAGAAAGCACTAGAGTGTGGTGAGCTTGAATCAGGGAGTGGATTAAATCAAGAGATGGGTTTGCCTAGACCTGGTGACACTCGGTGGGGCTCTCATTACAAAACCATATGTAGCATCATCACTATATATTTCTCAATTCATGATGTGCTCATTAAACTTGGTGCTGATAATGCATATAAAGAAGATTGGACAAAGATACATTTTGTGCTTGGAGTATTTAAAACCTTTGAGTTTGTTTTCTTTGTGCACTTAATGTATGTTATTCTTGATATACAAATGAGTTATCTGAGTGCTTGTAGAGAAGGGATCAAGATATTCTTAATGCAATCTCACTTGTTAATGTGGCAAAGAGCAGAATGCAGGAGTTGAGGTCTAATGGTTGGGATAATTTTCTTCAGAAGGTCACTTTTTTTGTATTAAACATGGTGTTGAAGTTTCTGCTATGGATGGTGCTTATGTGCCTTATGGAAAATCAGCACGGCATGCCCGTGCCCGAAACCAAACAAATGATGACCATTTCCGAAGAGAAGTATACATTGGTGTCATTGATCAAATTAGCCAAGAGCATGATAATCGGTTTGATGAGATCAATATGGAGCTACTCTCTTGTATGTCAGCCTTCAGTCCTTCCAACTCCTTTGCTTCTTTTGATGCACGGAAGGTACGTAGATTGGCTGAATTTTATCCTAAGGACTTCTCCAACAATGATTTGTTAAAACTTGAATTGCAACTTGATAATTATATTGATGACATGCGACAAGATGCTAGCTTCCAAGGTCTAGACAACATTATTGATCTCTCAGTTAAGCTTGTTGAAACAAAGAGGCACAAAGTGTATGATATGGTGTACTTGCTTCTCAAATTGATATTGCTTTTACTAGTGGCAACTGCGAGTGTTGAAAGGGTATTTTCTGCATTGGTTATAGTGAAAACAAAGTCAAGGAATAAGATAGGTGATACTGTTTTGGATGATTGTCTAGTCATATTTATTGAGCGGGATATTTTCTTCCAAGTTAATGAAGATGATATAATGGAGACATTCATGTCATTGAGAAAGCGGCGGATAAACAAGTAATATTGTAAGTCTCCTATTGTTATATTTTGAAGTATTTGTATTTCATTTGAACAATTTATATTAAGATTTGACGTCGTTTTATCGAATTATAATATGGTTTTACCAAATTGTAAATGGTTTACCGAATTGTATAAGAATTTTTTTTGTGGCGCATACCATATGCAAAAATCCTGGGTCCGCCACTGATACTAGACTACTAGTAGTACACAGACCCGGTGGACATTTTTCGAGAGACCAACAAGCCAAAGAGCAAAGAGCTTGGTGAGGTATGAGAAGTGTCATGAATCATATGGTGCATATATGTACGTACATACATACATCGATCCGTCGTGCACTAGTGCTCCTGCATGAAGCAGCTTTTGCACACTCGCAACACAAAAGTCACGGCCGGGCTTACACACACGCCAACATGCATGCATGCTACATGCATGAGAGTAGCTAGAACACGAAACGTACGAACGCGCTGATTGAACAGACAGCGCGAATTTGTTTTTAGCACGCACGCACGCATGTACAAAGGCTCAAAAAAACAAATGAAAGAATCGTGTCGACGTGTGCCCTCCCGTACGTCTCGACGACCGTCCGTCCGAAGTCGTCATTGGGCGGTCGTCATGATTTGTACCACCGCTCCCCGACGATGATGACTATGGGCGACGACGACGGAGCCGGCGGCGACAGCGGCACCCTGCTTCTCCTTGGTCACTGCCTCGTCGTCGTCGTCGGAGACGGGGGACGGCATCAGCAGCGGCAGCGGCACGGCGGGGTCGGCCATGACGATGTGGCACTCGAGCGCGGCGCAGTAGCGGGCGAAGGTGTCGGGGGCGACGTTGAGGCGGAAGCGGAGCGCGAAGAGGAGGTGCAGCTCCAGCGCGTTCATCTCCGACAACTCCACGCCGCCCACCCGCGCGAAGTAGGCGTTGTTGTAGTGCCTGCGTGAGATCATGCAAAATGAGTAATCAACAAGACGTACAGAGATGCATATACGATTGATGAAGGCAGGACAGGAACAGGATCGTCGGTTGGTTTCTGCGTTTCTTTTCATTGAAATTTCCCCTCTCTCTCTGGTAGGTGAGCACGGGGATCCGGACGAAGGACAGCGAGAGCAACGACGACATCACAGCTAGCCTGGCGAGCGAGCGAGCTGGACGTCCCAACTGACGACACCGCGCACACACGCCACAGACACACCTACCGCTACCGGCTGGCCTGTTGTTTAGACGTTTAGTTATGGCAGGTCAGGATGCACAAATGGCTGTGCTGCTACCTGCTCATCAGCCGGAGCCAGGAGGTAGTTAGGAATGATCAATAGGATAGGGACATTTATTTAATTTAATATATATACATACATTTTGCATGCATGTGAGTACTTGGCCGGGTAGCCGGGCCATTATATAACTGGGGCTGGAGTACAAGCATACCAGTATATAGTATGTCCCAGATAAATACAGTTGGAATTGGAATTTTCTACTCTCTTTAGCTGCTGGAGCAGCGTATATATCATCACGGCAACAAACCAATGAAAACCTACCGAATTGGTTGACAGGTCATCAGGGTAGCAGGTACCGAGCTAGTGGAAACTGGAAAGGCAGTGGTGAATGAATGGTGATGCGTCCGCGGCTCCATGAGATCATGACTCGGAGACTCGCATTCTTCTTCTTCTTCTTCTTTTGGGCGGCGGGAAATGTTTATCCAAGGTACTAGGCCGGACCGTGTGATACTAATCGTCGGCAGGGCAGTGCTACCGCTAGTCCAGTACTACGGTTATTAGTCAACTCTGGCATAGCTGTATAGCTGGATTTAGTTATTCCTACGGTTATGTTGAGCGTCAACTCTTCCCGGCCACTGCATAGCTGGATGTAGTTATTCCGTGGCCGACTGGCCGTGGCGTGGCGCCTGCTCCTCAATCAATTTCACAGCCGGGCTCGGGGAAATGCAAGCTGATTACTACCTACTAGTATTAACAGCCAGCTACCGATCCAAGATGAGCAGGGCGCAATGGAGACGAACACATGATTGATCCTTGACCAAAGGCCACGGCAGTGCAGTGTAGATAGCAAAATACTCGACTCACCTGTCGTCCATGAACTTGGCGGCGACCAAGACGGAGGTGATGAGGAGGCGGTGCACGGTGTACGAGTCGATGCCGACCGACACCGGCGCCTCCTCGCCGCCGCCACCATCCTCCTCGTCGGCACCCCGGCCCCGCGCGAGGCGGTCGAGGTAGACGTAGGCGACGACGAAGCAGGCGGGGCTGCACCCGGCGTACCGGTATATCCGCTCCACGTAGCGCCGCACGGGGATCCCCGGCAGCGCGCGGCCCCGGAACGCCGCCGACGCGGCGGCAGCGCCCTCGCCCTCGGCGTCGCCGCGCTCCGCCGCGCGCTCCAGCAGCCCCGCCAGAACGGCCACCACACGGGGCGCGCGCGCCTTGCTGCTCCGCGGCGACGGCGGCTCCATGGCGCGCGGGGCTAGGGGGGAGCTGAGGGAGTGGTGCTGTGGTGGGTGGTGGGTGGTGGTGGTCGCGGCCAGGCGAAGGGACGAGCGAGGGCCGGGGAGTAGAAGAGGGAGGCTGGCTTGGCTAGCTGCCTGGTGGTGTGGTGCGCTGGCACTGGCAGAGCGACAGCCGACAGCCGACCGACCGGCCGCGACGTTTGCTCGCGGACTAGGATTGGGTTCTTGTTGGGTTTCAGCTTCCGTATCGCGGAGGCGTAAAGTGAAGGATGACGCCTTTGGTTTGGTGACGAGGAGGAGCCCAGGAGGAGGCGAGAACCGCCGGACCGAACCGAAGCAACCGACGAGGAGTTGAGGTAGAAGCTCCTGCTAGCTGCTGCTGATGATGATCGTTTTGATTGTTGGTATGGCGAGATCACATCGGCATTGATATGTGTGGTGTCCCGTGTCCGCAAGGCTGCAAACGTGATGTTCTCTCTCGCGAGTCGCGCGTGCTTCAACAGGAAAGCAAAGCCGAAAGCCCGAAACCGAAAGAGACCCGAACGCGAGCGCCTGCTGCGGTTAAACAAAGCAGAACCAGGCGCCGACATATATAGGAGTATTGCTAGCTGCAGCCTCCTGGCTTTGGCCTGTGTCGGTCCGACGTCCAACTCCATCTACTAGGCATCTACTGCCGCATTGACCATTGAGAAAAAGAAAGGGATGTCTTCCTTGGCTTCCTGTCCTGAGTCGGATTTGGAGGATTACTGTACACACGTTTTTCAACAACAGCCAGCATAGACTGGACATCAGGGAGACGACCACTATCCGACGACCACTATCCTATCACCGCCCTGTTTGGCTTATAATTTATATTTTTTAAAAAATAAATAGTATTTTTTTCTCACAACAAATATACTTTCAGCCATGGCTTATCAACTAAACAAATAGAACGCGCATCGCTGTCATTCGGCCAACATCGATGAGCGTGCGATGTGATGAGGCAGCCACCACCACCCCGCCCGTGCACCCTACTACTCCCCCTCTCCCTATGGCGCCGTTCGGTTAGCTGAAAAACCAGCCGAAATTTACTGTTCACGGGATGAAAATCACTGTTCATGCTCTTAGCTAGTTGAAAACACCGCCGGGATTCACGGTTCACGGATGAAATCACCGTTCACGCTCTCACAAATTCCTTCAAATTCATCCAGTTTCTTCTAAATTTCTATCAGCGAACAGGATCTGTACCACCGGTCGACGGCACGGCAGCGCGTCGGTCTCACTCGTCCCCCGCCGCCGGTCCGCTCCCACTGCCCATATCCGCTCGTTACGCCGGCGGGCGGCGGCAACACCGCAGCACTCTGGTGCGCTCGTGACAGGCGACGCGTTCCAGCCACCAGAAACGCGTGACAACCACACAGGATTGGACTGTGCAACGGCAACATCTTAACTGCATTCCATCCATCTACAGAGTTTTCAGGCCAGCAAACACCGGCATGCAGATCCAATTTGTTGCAGCGCTCGTATATATCGTATGCAGTATGCAACCAAACCGTACCAGATTCATTCACAGGACGACTAATAACAAACTAAGAGATGAAGAAAACAAAGAAACACTCTCAGTTCTTTCGGTTCCACCACAAGAACCCAGTTACTCCTCCCTATAGATATGTGGGAGCTTCCATTCATATTGTAGTACTATACTCGTACGTAGCATCAGGCAGCCCGTGCCTTCAGTGTTCCAGGTGAGAAAAGACACCGCTCACGACCTCTTCTTCTTCTTCTTGTCCTCCGACTTGTCAGCCGCGTTCTTGAGCTGCATGCACAGTTCAGTTCAGTTCAGTCAGTCAATCAGACATCACCACCAGCAGAGAGAGATCATGCATGAACAAACGCCACCAATCCGACAAGAGCTCTCACCATGATGACGAGGATGCGGACAAGGACAGCCACGAAGTCGGTGAAGAGGGTGAGGGCGTGCTTGATGTAGTCCATGTCGCCGTGGTGCGCCCTCTCGATGATCTCCTGCGTGTCGTACACCATGTACCCCAGGAAGATGAGCAGACCAAAGTAAACCTGCAGGCCGGATCAAGCTGATTAAGGAATATGCTCGATCAAATTAAAGAGCGGATAGTGGCAGGCACGTCTGATCGATGACGATCTCTCACCTCAAACATGAAGCTGCTAGTGGAGTGGCCAAAGATGGAGGCGGCGAACTGCAGCCAGAGCAGGATGGAGAGCCCAGAAGAGAGCAGCCCTCCCAGGTAGAGGTACTCCCTGCGCTTGGCCACCACGGCGGCGCAAGAGAAGCACGCGAACGCAATGGCAGTCCCCACAAACGCTGTCACCAGGATGCTGAGGAAAAACAACACACAAGCAACAGGGTGGCTTCAGTCGGTGCACCAAAAGATAAAACATTTGCTGAGCCTGAGCAGCAACAGCAGTTCAACCACAAATCTCTGCCTCTATAATAGCACTCTGATGAACTAGTATGAATATAGTTCTGAATTCAGCATAAAAAAGCATCAGTTGATCATGCATGCCTAGGTTAACCACAAATTTCTCTCTTGATGGCACTGTGAACCCAGTAGAGTATACTTAGTCCGGAATTCAGCATAAACAAACATCAATTCATCATGCCAAAATATAAAAAGAAACAAGATAAAGAACTTTGACACCATCAAGTGCAAGTAACAGTGCCCAGACATTTCAGGCTACCCAAGGCTAGCAATAGTAGTATGTTCATCCATCCAAGGAGAGGATGCACAAGCTAAATGTTCAGGACTGATGATTATCTTCAGAAAATTGCTCAATGCTTAAATTCATTTCTTATGTCAACCCATGCCAAGATCCTATCAAGCAATTAGGAAGCAACTTTTTCTTTTTCCAAATACAAAGTGCTACAACATGCATGTGGAGCACCTTTTGACAAAAGGGGTAAAGCATGAATAGGCAAAGCAAAACAAAGGGCAAAATCAATTCTATAACTAGGTGCCGAAATTTTGCACCTATCAGGGGCATGCAAACTTTTTACTGGCTTTAGCTCCAAAATTGGGACAAAGAAGTATAACTAGTGACAGCATCATGCATGTATGTGCCGCATGTCTGTTTGAGATGAATTGCCTAGCTATAACATCATGCATGATGATTCACTGAAAGTGACAGTTCTCAGAAAGCAACTTAAAATTCTTATGAGAAGATCGCACTGTAATTTTACAGTACATGCAAAAAAAAAAAAATCTCCTGCTCTGACCTCGAAATCCCAGTCACTACCGAAAAACTGCGGCAAGAATAGAAGCAGACAGCGACTGGCAGGAGAGACAAGTAGGCAACACAACACACATCCCATAGAAGCAGCACGTAAGTCGCTGTCAATACCCGAACATTATATTGCAAGTCATCATCATCATCTAAGCATTTATTTACTACAACTTGTCCGCTCATGCATGATCAAACTCGTAGTGTTTAGTTTTGATTAATCAGTAGCGCACAGCGCAGGCAATTTCCGAGAGGCAAGTGCGAGGTAAGTTCGTTGTTACCTTGGGTCAAATTCCACGGCGAGCTTGATGAGGGGTCCAACCGAAGCCCCTTCCAGGAGGGCAGCCGCCATCAGCAGCCCAAACCTCTTCCTCTGCACATGCACAAGCACGGACGAACAGGGCAACACATTGAGAAAGAGAAAAAAGTCAGCACAGACGCAATTGACATTTTCGGTTTGTCAAATTTCTCGCTCGCGAGCCTGCACAGCTTGCGAGATGCCGAGCAAGGTCAACTGACGAAGGAGGGACGAACAAACCTCCTCGTAGACGGGCACCGAGAAGAGCCAGGCGATGCTGCCGACGCAGCCGAGCGTGGTCAGCATCCCGCCGATGTTCCAGACGACGTGCAGGTAAGCGCCCACCGCCGACGAGGCCAGCGCCACGCATAGGGTGAGGTAAACCTGCAGGCAACCAAACCAAACCAAAACCAACAACCACCATCAGATTTGAATTGAATTAAATAAATTATAATTACTGGATCGAGCAACTAACTAATAACCGCCGTCAGAACGACGTGTGACATATCACACGGTTGCAAGATCGCACCAAGCATAATAAGGTGCATAAATAAACAAGTAACCGAAATGCAACGCATGGAATCGACTTGCTGAAAAGTTTATATCGATCAATCACATATTATTATTACTCTAATCGAATCATGTTCTTGTGTGACGAATCAATCAATCGGTGGCATTGGCAGTTCTCAACTCAAGGAATACAGCACGCGCGAATCAGAAATTCCTAGGCAAAAGCAACACGCAAACAGCAGGTTGTGATGATGATTTAATAATAAACAGACGAAATTCCATTGCGTAAGGAAATCCCCACGAAACCAACAACTGATAAAAAAAATACTAAAGGCTAATTGCGTGAATCGCCTTCACATTCCGCGGGTAGTACAACAGAATCCGCTGTTTTCACTGAACAATTTGAACCCGACCAAAAAAGGACAATTCGAACAGAGGTGCAATCCAAACCACCGGGCAAGCCTGGATGGAACACGATGGCAAATTGGCACGTACGAAGGCGAACGACCGAGGCCAACCGGGAAAAAAAATAGCCCCCCAAAAATTGTGAAAACAGCCATCGAAACGGTGAGATTATAACACCACCTCACCTGTTCGCTTGTCTTTTCGGCTTTTCAACGTTTTTCTCTCGCAACAAATTATCTTTTCAGCAAAACAAACAGGATCCGTTGCCACATTCCACCCCCAAATCCCCCGAAACAAAGCCAAATAAACCGGCTATGCAGAGAAACACCGGCGTAGTAGGGCCGGGACGACGAGCGAGAAACGCAAGCACGAGGAGAAGAAGAAGAAGCACGAACGGGAGGGTGGCGGTACGTACGAGCTTGAGGTGGGTCTGGACGGCGGGGGTGATCTGGCGGAAGTTCTTGAGCGAGTCGTAGCCCCAGCCGCTGCCGCCGTACGGCCCCGACGAGGAGGAGGATGTCGAGTAGAAGGCGTCCATCGCTTCCGGCTCCGGCGG